GACAGGCCGCGCGGAGGCGGTCAGGGAGGCCGCGGGGGCGCGGTCGCTGCTCCCCACCGGCTAAATCCCGGCCCCAAGTCCCTCCCCGCATCGGTCCTCACGGAAGTCGCCGAACCCCGGTGCCACTCTTCGCCTAGGTCCAGCAAGTCCTCCATCTCCGCGGCCGCCTGTCGTCACTTCCTGGAAACCAAGCAGCCCGTGGCGTCCCTGACCACGGCTCCGCCCTTCCGTTCCAATATTTAAAGGGTCGGCCGCATTGTTCCTGGATTCTATGTGCCACCCTCTGACTTAAATATTTCTCAAACCTGCCTTGCTTGACTTCTGAAAGAAACCTTCACATATTAAATCCCTCTAAGGCTGCACCTGTGGGACGGTGAAAAAATGTTAGCCCTTTTTAGAATACGTGTTATTAAGTGCAAAGCACCACTACTAATAGTAGTAATTATTTTGATCCCTCCCATTTGTATAGCTCTTTGCAATGCACAGGGGACCTTCTCAATTTTATTAGCTCATGTGAAGGGCATAACGACCTTGTGTGGGAAGCAAGATAAATTGTATTCTCTCTATTGGACAGATGTGAAAACAGGCTGCAGGGGGTCAGGTGTTAATAAATGGTTTATAACAGAAAATGCAATATACATAATCTCTGCCTTCAAAAGTTTACAGAGAGGCTGAACTGGCACATCAAATACCGGAGTAGTAATAACTTTCAAAAGTCAAATAATCCCTCCAATAACTCCATAAAGTGAACGGCAGTAATATCTCTATTCAACAATTGAGGACATAAGTGCAAAGAGGTGGCTTAAGGAAAATCACCTGAGTGTTAAACAGCAGAGCCAGGTGCCTTTCTGACACTATATTACTGGAGTGTTTTTCTCCAGGACACATTACTGGGTGGCAGCCTTTCTCCTAGGCCAGTAGAGGAAGATATCCCCCAAACTCCCAGTGTAGGGATGAAGGATGCTTTCCCCTGTCTTTCTAGGTTCTTTTGGATGGTCTAATAATGAAATCAACATGAGACAGATTCGCAAGAGGAAATAACCAAATTTAATTGCATATGAAAGTATGGGAATGCCGTATACATATGAGAGAGTCAGGGACTCCACATTCATGAGAAGTTCAGAGACAAAAAGAAAAACTGAGGTAGATGTGACATTCTGGGCTAAGGATGAAGTAAGGCTTCAGAGGGGAGGACAGTCATTTGCAGAATGATAAGAAGAGCAGATGTTCAGTAATTAGAGGTTTGTCTTGCCCTATAGACAGGCATAGAAATAAAAAGTTATTTTTGGTTATAACTCTTATTATGGGCATGGTCTCTAATTTAAATTCTTTAAGGGAGAGGTAAAAGCTTAACCTGAGCCCGCAGGGTCTTAATTGTCATCAGCTCAAAATAATTTACATGCCCAAGTGCACATTTGAGGGAGGCCTGTTCTGAACCCTTGCACCAGGCAAATTGGGTGAGTTGAGTCTTCATTGACTCTCCATATAAGATCCCCAGGTCAACACCACTGCCTGGGTCCCTAGTACTGGTCAGCTGGGACCCTCAGATGATGGACTCATGGCCCCGATAGTGAGCCACATTCCCAATATCACACTGGTGGTAAGGCCTAGATGGCCACCACTTAAAAAGCTAGGACTTGGAAGTGGGAGTAGCCCTAAAACTGGATTGCAAGCATTTCTTAAATACTCTGTAAATTACTTAGTTCAACCATTCATTCACATGTTTACTGGGTAGGGCTGTACATTATACCTTATGACAGCAACAACATGGATGTCAGAAGAGTTGAGGTCCCAGCCTGGATCTGCTGACAACTACCTGTGTAGCCAGGCAGAGCCTCTCTGGACCTCAGTTTCCTCCCTTGTAATTATTCTTAGAGATTACCCCTAAAATCTTTTACTCATTAACTCTGATTCTCAGTGAGACTACCCTAATTAGATTTTAATCTGAAGGAACATTCATTGCTAAAAATCCAAGACAAATAAAATATAGTCTCCAGTGAATCCCTTGTTCCCTTCTTTCTTGGTACCCAAAGAGAAAGAAGGAATTAATCTTTGGGTTTTTTCATTTCTTGTGAACTCATAGCCATACTACCTCCACCTTTTAACCAGTTTCCGAACCTTCGCTCCCACTTCTTCCCCAACGTCCTGAAAGCAAAAGGTGACCAGTGCTCATTCTGGACAGGACGAGGCCCTAGAGTAGTGGCTTCCAAACCTTGCTGGAAACCAGACCCACTTGTGAGGTTTGTTAAAAGTACATATGCCAGAGCTTGGAGACTGATTTAGTAGAGGTAGAGTCCAGAAGGATGTACAACTTTAATAATTCTGTCTCCCATTTTGCAAGTGTTTGCTTAAAGGCCTCAGTAAGGCCTTCTCTAATTTAAAATTGCAACATCACTTTTAAATTGCAACACCCCCCAACCTAGGCAATTTCTATCCTCCTTCCCTGTTTTATTTTCTACCATGGAAGTTATCTTTTATCATACTACACGATTACATATTTATTTAGTTTATCGCCTTCCCCACTACCCACCTTCACCCCTAGAATGTAAGCTCCACTAGGGCAAGGGTTTTGTTGTTTGTTCTGTTCACTATTGTATTCAGAGAGCCTAGAAGAGTGCCCGGTATATAGTAAACATCGAAAACATTTTTCACGAGATGGCTGAATTTCAGAGGCAGTATAACATAAATTCATAGACTCTTCCAACAGACTCCTCAGTCTAAATCTTAGTGTTGACTCCTACTGGCTCTATATGACCTTAGACAGATTACTTTTAAGCTTTCTACATCTAGGTTTCCCTGTTTGTTATGCAAATGACAAAATGCCTACCCAAACTAGAGAGCCTGTGTTAAATATAGTGTTGACTCCTACTGGCTCTATATGACCTTAGATTACTTTTAAGCTTTCTACATCTAGGTTTCCTTGTTTGTTACGCAAATGACAATAATGCCTACCCAAACTAGAGAGCCTGTGTTAAATGTCACCTTCACCACTCACACAAAGCAGTGTGGACTTTTAAATCGCTGTGTGCCTCAGTTTCCTCCACTGTAAGCTGATCGACTATGATCCTTAGGGATGCTGAGAACACCCCTTCAGTTAGTGGCCTAGGAGACTGGAGCAGGAACCAGATCTGGCAGGAAGGGCCCAGGAAGGCTGGGGTGAAAGGGAGCAGCACTGATTCCCAGGAAAGTGATCCATTCAGGGGCAAGGCCTTTGTTGGGGGCCGGGAGCGGAAGGAAGCACTGTGCCTTGCCCTCCCTAAGCTTCTGGGGAAATACCTAGAAGCTTAGGCTGAGAAGAGGAAGGAAAACGAAGAGAAAACTTCCCCTCACCCATCTGGGAAATGGGCTCCTGCCAACTGCTGACTTTGCGCTCACTGGCGCAGTTCCCTGCGGAACCCCCGGCGGGGAGGGAGGCTGCGAACATCTGGAGGACATTTATGCGAGAGCGGCTGCAGAGCAGGGCTCCGCGGAGGGAGAGGTGCACTTGTACGCACGTCGGGCCGAGAGGGAGGCTATTCCCCCAAGGCCCCCGGGCCTGTTTTCCTCGGCCTCTCCTGCAGCCCCTCTTCCCCAGGCCCCAGCCCCAGCCCCAGCCCCGAGCCCTCCCCGCGGTCCCGGCTCCAACCCGCGGAGCCTCGGTCACTGGCGGCCTCGCCTCGCCAGAGGGCACCCTCGATCTGCAGGAAAACGCCACCATTTTCAGTGCCCCTGGAGCATCCCCAAGCTTCAGCAAGCGGCCCGACTTCAATCTTGTCAATGAAGAATCGGGGCCAGGATCGCAGCGGAGCTGAACCCAACTCCAAGCCCGTTCCCAGGCCTGGCGTCAGCCCCACCGACGGTGGCACTGCCGCCCCTACCCAGGCCCAGCGCGATCCCGATCCCGATCCCGCTCAGTGTTCGGCCTGGCCCGGGGGCGGCGAGGCCGAGGGAAGGACGGACTGACAGCTGGAGAGCGCGAAGGAGTTGGGGGAGAAGGAGGGAGGGGATTCATCGGAGTAACTTTCCAGAAAAACAGTCAACGTGTAGCAGGAGTGACTCCAAGAGGGGAAAAAAAGTTCAGTTACCACGTCGAAAGAGCGGACTCGCAAAGTATTTTTCAAATGGGCTCGGCTTTTCCTGTGCCTGTTTAAAACATTAAAATCGTGCAGCAAAAGAGGCTGCGTGCGCTGGTCCCTCCCTCCCCCACCCCGGGCCAGAGACGTCATCGGAGGGAGGTATAAAATTTCAGCAGAGAGAAATAGAGAAAGCTGTGTGTGTGTGTGCATGTGTGTGTGAGAGAGAGGGAGAGGAGCGAGAGGGAGAGAGGGAGAGGGAGAGGGAGACGCAGGAGGGAGAGAAAGGGAGGGAAGCAGAAAGCCAAGTCCGAGGGAATGAGCAAGGGAGGCGAGAGATAGGGGAAGAAGCATAAGAAAGAAGGAGTAACAGCTTTCCGGAGAAGGCGTGCAGTGAGCTGGCTTCTATTTTATTTTTTCTTTTCTTTTTTATTTTCTAAAGAGAAGCAGGGAACAGAAGCAATGGCCGAGGGAGAAGACAAGCCGAGGTGCTGGTGACCCTGGGCGTCCAAGTGGATTATTGGGGCTGCTCTCCAGGGGCCTGTCCTCCCTGCCTTCCAATTGCACATAACCCCACATCCCAGCCAAGGAAGACAAGAGGCAGCGTGAACAAAGTCATTTAGAAAGCCCCCGAGGAAGTGTAAACAAAAGAGAAAGCATGAATGGTGTGCCCGAGAGACAAGTGTGTCCTGCGCTGCCCCCACCTTTAGCTGGGCCATCAGCAGCCCAGCCCTGTCTCTCCCCACCTACTCACTGGTGATCTGACTTTTTTCTTTTTCTTTTTTTTTTTTCCAACGATTTTTTTTTTCTTTTCTTTTCCATTCTCTTTTCTTATTCTCCTTCAAGGCAAGGCAAAGATTTTGATTTTGGGACCCAAGCCATGGTCCTTCTGCTCCTTCTTTAAAATACCCACTTTCTCCCCATCGCCAAGTGGCCTTTGGCAATATCAGATATCCGCTCTATTTATTTTTACCTAAGGAAAAACTCCAGCTCCCTTCCCACTCCCAGCTGCCTTGCCACCCCTCCCAGCCCTCTGCTTGCCCTCCACCTGGCCTGCTGGGAGTCAGAGCCCAGCAGAACCTGTTTAGACACATGGAGAAGAAACCCAGAGCTACAAGGCACACAGTCGGCTTCTTCGTGCTCAGGGTTGCCAGCGCTTCCTGGAAGTCCTGAAGCTCTCGCAGTGCAGTGAGTTCATGCACCTTCTTGCCAAGCCTCAGTCTTCGGGATCTAGGGAGGCCGCCTGGTTTTCCTCCCTCCTTCTGCACGTCTGCTGGGGTCTCCTCCTCGCCAGGCCTCGCAGCCCCCCTGGCCTCTCTCCCC